CGCATTATACATTCCGTATCATTCCGTTTTCTTTCTTTATATTACAACTATTCCCATCTTCCTCATTGCTTGCTGTTTCTAAATCTCAATCCAATCCAGCTTTAAATCATCCGCGGACGTGTCAATTACATACCTCGAGCTCGAGTAAACAACTCTGTTACTAAGTGCCTGCCCCGGCCGGAACTTCCGGATATCTGATCAACCATCAGCACATTGCATAGCTAGAGCTCGAAGCTCGCCTTTAAAGCCTCTTTCTTCCTTCTAGAACAAGAGATAGAACTGAATACATTACTTTCCTCCATCATGGGCTTGGCAAGATCACGGTCCGTTGTCAAGCTGCACGTGAATGGGGAACGAGTGCTGATAAAAACAAATAGAACTGTTACATTAACAGTAGCCCTCGCAACCCTCACCTCCAACATCCTTTCCTCTTTACTGTTCGCGCAGCTCCCAGATGATCCGTACCATCTAGCCTCCAACTTTGGCGTGTATCTGCATTTTGCGAATATTCTGAGTGTATTTGGATTTATTGGTGCACTGAGAGTATGTTACCTCTCTCTTTGTTTACTCTGCATCTATTTTTAAGAAGTGATTTGCTAATGCGAGAAACAGCAACACGCCCTCAGCATATCTTTCTTCTCAACCTACCTCCTCCTCGACACCATCCTCTGCGCCGTCCCCCGCCTCCTCCTTCTCTCCCTCCTGCACCCGCTCTCCACCACATTCTGCACCCCCTCTTCCGTACCATCCTACGCCACCCCCCTCATCTTCACCGCTCAAACCCCTCCTTCTCCCTCACCCCACACTGCCTCGACCTCCACTGCAGCATTCCAACAAGAGCCTTTCGATACAAGCATAACCTGGAAATGGACCGAGGAAGACTGCTATAGGGTTGTAGGTCTGGCGCAGCTTGCGCTTGCTGCAGGCGTGGTTGCTGCTTGTTGTCTGCAGGGTGTAGGCGCGCTTTGTGTGCGGGAGTATGCGAGAATGCTTTGGAGGGAGGAGGGCAGGGCCTTGGGAAGACAGGAGGGAGGGCTGATTGTTTTTGAGGATAGGGAGACGGGGCATGAGAAATGTTGAGTGTAGAAGACGAACGAATAGGCGGGATTGCATATGAAGGAGGGATATATTTAAGGGGAATAAGAACATAATATAATTGATGGGGGGTAGGGGGCTGGACTTATAGGAAAAGGGGTTGAGGAAAGCGGCGAGGGGTGAGTGTATATATGGCAGGGAGCAGGGCATGGCGTTTGCGGGTTATACCATTTGGACTTTTTCTGGCGAGCTTTTTGTGGGGTATATTTACGTTGATGGTTATGAAGACATGGAAAAGAGGAAATGGAATAGTTGAAGATTAGCTCCGCTCACCTTTAAATTGGTTTGAAGTGGTGGCGAGAGAACAAGAATCTGAATTGATCAAGTAAATCAAACCTCTGCTTGGAAGATGTCAGTAACACCCGCCCTCAGTTCAAATAACTATAACCCCCAAATCCACTCAACGCACTTATACCACTCAACGCTTACACTATAATCACATCTTTCATCTACACCTTCCATTTCACCCTTATTCGCGCCATCCTCGATAAGCCAAAAACACCCAGCACCTCTATCACAGCATCAATTCAGTCCACCAATCGAATCTAGCATTTCCCACCTCGTCTTATTTATACCCGCCAACCAACAATCTAATACTTAGATACATACGCCACTCCAGCTAAACTGTCATACCGTTTGAGTGCGTGGCAGATATAGAGGGTGTACAGTAGGTCCTGCACACAATTAGATTATACATGGAGTGATGTGATATTTACCGAGACGTTTTGAGGTTGATCGGGGGGAGGGGAGGAGAGGAGAGGGAGGAGGGAGAGGAGA